GTTGCCCTGCAGCGCAGCTGGTTGAAGGACGGACAGGTGAAAGACACGCCTGGGTGGGTTCCATCGCCAGAGGAGAGAGTTGGTAAGCTGCATGCTGCCCAGAAGAATGTGGCTTGTGAGAAAGACGATGCAGATCACGCGCCCATCCACCAACCAAAGGGGCGTCTTGAGCGAGATGGGTGAGTGTTGCAAGAGAGGACCCAACTTGGTTGCCCCCAACTCGACGTCCTCCACCTGGGTTGGATTCCAACTGTTAAAAAATGTCCGTGATCCAGATGTTGAGAGCTGGAAGGGGAGGGGCGCTAGATCAGACTTGGGTTGGCCTTTATGGGAATCGTAGTCCAACATTTGCGACGGGTACATAAATGAATGAACTTTTGGCTGGTTCTTGTAAATGCTCCTACATGGACGTGTCCTTCAAGAAAAATGAATAAAACCAGGATAATTAAAACCACAGGGAGAAGAAAGTCAGTCATAAATAACTCAGATTCATTCCACGGAGAAGGAAGATTTCCCCTTATTCGAATTTCTAGATTTTTTTTTGTACAGCTTTCCCACCAAATGTTATCAGAGTTTCAGGCAGGCCCTTGTAATATACTATGGTGGGCTTCATTTATTTCCTAAGTGAAGTTATGAAAACACAGGTGCCTCAGGAATCTTGGATTACTCTCAGTAGCAAAATCCAAAGGGTGATAATGTCAGATGGTGCTCCCTTCAAAATCCAAGAAAGACACCCTTAGACTCCATTGTTATAGAGAAAAGGACTTTTACTGGAAATCAAGTGGTAGCATCAAAAGGATTCTAGATCTGAAAATTTACGCACAGAAATCACATATACGAAGTGATAGCAACGTTCCCACCCACAATAGCTCAAATAGTTCCTCCAATTGAAGATGTATGTAGTGTCACGTGGGGCTTCTTCAGGTGGTGATGCAGACATCTGGCCGTTGACCTTGGCCTGGTTTGATAAAGAGCTGCAGTTGCGCAGTAAGCAAGCAAGGAAGCATAAACAATACAGTTTTCCCCAAGTTAGACAGTTCGTTCTCTAAAGCCTTCCCAGCACACTTCCCACCCCACAAAGGCCAGTTGATTCACCCTCCCCCTGTTACTATGGCAGCTGAAAAGATAAGCAGCACAAAGGAGTCTTGAAGGCTGACAGATAAATACTTTTTCACGGATCTGTAAGTGTGTGCCCCGAATGTCACCGCTTTCCACAGTTGTGTGATCAACAATGCAATTTTGGACTGGATGTGGCAGTAGCTCTCTAGATGCAATACCAACCTTTGGGATTTATTTTATGAATGGCTAGAAAGAAGAGTAAGAAATTGAAGTATATTGTAATAGTAATGATGCATTATAATTGATTATTTTTGAATCAGATATAATATGAATATAGTCTAGTAAGAGTTGAGAATTGCTCTTACAGATAGCCTGGAATTGAAATGAAGACTTTAATGATAATATAATAATGATGATACAATATGATATAGAATGTTGATTAGAATATAATACGAATGTAAACTTAAGAGGAAAGGTTTATAAATACTGCGCACACGACATATGTACCAAACTGACACACTGTATAATTGAAAGAAGGTTTTATTTGTTGTTTAGTTTGTTATTAAAAAGAAAGAAAGATGTAATACCAACCTTCTGCACGTAGCTTTAGGCCCCGTTGCTTTTCATCTCCTACTCACAAGTTTTCTGAGTTTTCTGAGTTTCTGGTTAAACTTCCCACTTTGAATGCTCACAACTGTTTGTCTCCCTTCCAGATGTTTATCCAGCCATCCCTGCAAGAATCTGGCACTTTCTGCATCACGAGGAAGACATTTCTCCATGGTAAACGCTCGGAGAGGTTCCCCGGTGGGGAGGGAGGAATTACAAGGTCTCCCCTATTGCCAACATCCAGATGGTTTACTTTGCAAACGCCAGAATGGTTGGCAAAGGATGGGACAGACCCATTACCAGTTGCCAGAAGAACCTCCAAGACCATGATTTGCCAACTCTGAGAGAGGCCAACTCTTTGCTTCGGAAAAGAGAACAGAACAAAACAATCAGAGAATCGGGACCGTTGTGGAATTGTGGGAATCACATCTCCGTGGGCAGGAAAAGTGAATGAGCCATCTTTTTTGGGGGGGGGGGCACCTTTAGAGGCAAAGATGGAGAGACCCTCGTTTCTGTCGAGGTAGTTCTCAACTTATAATCACAATTGGAAACGAGGTTCCTGTTGCTAAGCCAGCTGCTTAAGAGAGTCACGCCCGATTTTGCGATCTTTTTGTCACAGCTGGCACACCCCCCCACACACACACACACCTGACCCATCACAAGACCCACCATTGACACACCCACTGAAAATGCTACCTAGCCAGGTAACAAAACGTTCGTAAACCAACCCACAAGCTTGGAGAACGAACCTCTGTCCTCTCACATCATCTTCATGATCACATGCTCCAAATCCAGGGGTTTGATATGTATGGATAAGTTACAGCATCCGGCATCCCTGGGTTGGAGAATTCTGGGAGATTTATTATAGAATGGAATGGAATGGAATGGAATAGAACAGAAGAAAACAGAACAAAGAGGAGAGGAGAGGAGAGATATTGGAAGGAATGGAATGGAACGGAGTGAATGGAGTGAAACTATTTACAGACTCCTCACATCCCCGACATAAACAATTTCAACTCCTTCCCTCAAAATGATGTTATAGAGTCCTGCACACCAGAACAACGACACAAGGACGTTTTTTTCCCAAACGCCATCACTCTGCTAAGCAAATAATTCCCTCAACACTGTCCAACTACTTACTAAGTCTGCATTACTATTAGTATTAATCTTCTTATCATTCCTATCACCCAACTCCTCCCATTTGTGACTGTATGACTAACCTTGCTGCTTGTATCCTTATAATTTATACGGACTGTTTCCTAGTATGATTTGATTGCTTCTTGTACCTTATGACAGTTATTAAGCATTGCACCTTATGATTCTTGACGAAGGTATCTTTTCTTTTATGGACACTGAGAGCATTTGCACCAAGAAAAATTCCTTGTGTGTCTAATTACACTTGGCCAATAAATCATCCATCCATCCATCCATCCATCCATCCATTCACCCATCCATCCATCCATTCATTCATTCATTCATTCATTCATATTCTTCCTTTATTATTATTGTTTTTATAAATAACTCCGGGTGGCAAACACGCACTTAATACCCCTTCCTCCTATTTTCCCCACAGCCACAACCACCACAACCCCACATAAGGTGAGTTGAGCTGAAAGAGAAGGACTGGCCCAAAGTCAGTCAGCTGGTTTTCAGAAAGTTGACATTCACACGACTTGGTAACAAAAAAACAACAACAACAAAAACAAAACAACCCCAGGCAGAGGTGGGAGATATTGGTGCTGCCTAAGGCGCCAGGCTGGGTTCCAAGAGACCAACCAACCAGCGGGGAAGCCAGGAATGAAGGGGTTAACCCAAAGGGGAGGAGGAAGAGGAGATATTCTCGGCTGAGCAAAAGGAAAACTCTGGAGCCTGGATTGCCTTTGGCCAGACCATCAACCGATCCATCAGACTAGAGCTGGAAGGGACCTCAAAGGTCTTCTAGTCCAGCCCTCTGCTCAAGCAGGAGACTGTATTATTTCAGACAGGTGGCTGTCCAGTCTCTTCTTAAGCACCTCCGGTGACCGGCAACTTCCGGAGGCAACTTCTGTTCGCCCGGTTAATTGTCCTCCCTGCGAGGAAGTTTCTCCCGAATTCCTGGTTGCTTCTCTCTTGGGTTAGTTCCCATCCGTTGTTTCTTCTTCTGCCTTCTGGTGCTTTGGAGAATAAATTGACACACACACACACCTCTTCTTCGGGGCAGCCCCTCAAATACTGGAGAGGCTTCCACAAAGAGTTTCCCAAATCCTCCTAGAGATAAGAGCGGGCATAGATTCCTACTCTCCCGGTTACCCCTTGCCTCACTGATGCAGGGGAGGGTGAAGTGCTGCCTAATTCCTAGGGGGCTTCATCGAATGGACTCATTGTACCCAACAATGTGGAGTCACAACGGTCAGTTCTTCGGCTGGTGGGGTTGGCCTTGCACGGCATCCAGTTCCGCCCAAGAACCTAACATGGGATCTATCCACATAGTATATGTCTGTATATTATGGGGGCACGTAGGTATATGGTATATATCTATCGGATGCATGTGTTTGTACAAAATTGTAGTTATGTACAAAAATAAATGTGTATATGTGTATATAGAATGTGTATGTTTATAGTGTGATATATAAATATGCTATTATTATTATTACTATTATTATTATTATTATTCCTCTGCTTGTTGTCAGTCACACCCAGAAGTGTGGATGATTTTTCCCTGGTGTGAAGGACTATCCTTCTCATCCTGCAGAATGGGAACTGGAGTACGTCCACATTCAGATTCTGTTCTTTTGGGTTGTCTGCCCTCTCCAGGTTGCCATCCCAACATGGTAGGCTTCCAATGAAACGGCAGGGAACCCATGTGGCCATCTAGTCCACCCCGACAAAACCAATCTGTCTTCTCCTCCTCCTCCTCCTCCTCCTCCTCCTCGGTTCTCGTACCAGCTGAGGCTGGCACTGTTCCCGAGGGGCTGCCCCCCCCTTTTCTTCTCTAGCAACTGGGTTGCAAAGCAGGCACCCAATTGCACATCAGCTTCCGCCTAGGGTTGCCTGACATCCTGAACTAGCACAAACCAGCCAACCGAGTTTGAGCTTAAACCAAACCCTGGAATTTGTTTGTCTCTGTCTCTCTCTCTCTGTGCGTGTCTCTTTGTGTGCGCGCCCGTCCTTCTGCCTTCCCAACCGGGCGCCGGGCGCAGCTCTTGCCGCCTTCCTTGCCAGGCGGTGGCGGTGTGCGGATCGCCGGCTGCCTCTACCTGCGGCGAGGCAGGGGTTAAGGGCTGGCGGGCCCTCCCCGGCGCCTTCGGCCTGCCAACCGCTCGGCGTGGGGAGGGAGAGAGAGAGAGAGAGGGGCGGCCGCAGCCAGGCAGGAGACGCCGGGTGCCCGGCTGCGCTTCTCAGGTAGAGACCGGTGACAGGTAAGCGCTGCGCCAGGTGGGCTTGGTCCCAGAGGGATCGGGCGCGGCGATTCCCCACCCCCCACCCCCTGGGTGGCCAGGAGGATCCTGCGTGGGGAACTCCGGTGGGGGCAACTTTCGGTCCTCTGGGCGTGGGAGGTTCGCTTAGCAACATAGATTTTGAGCTCAGTTGTGGTTCTAAGTCGAGGGACTGGCTGTCTTTGGGGGCTTCAGCCAGAGAAAGAATAGACCAGAAATAATAGACATAGAAAGAATAGGAATAGGAATAATAGAAATAGGAATAATAATAGAGTATAGAATAGAATAGTTTAGTTGGAAGGGATCTTGGAGGTCATCTAGTCTAGTCCAACCCCCCACAACAGGAGACCCTACACCAGGGGTCTTCAAACTTG